TATATATAACTTTTTTATGTATATGTATATTTATAAAACAAAGCAACCCCCTGATATACCTATTTTTTCGTACTTATCCTTCACCAAATCTTCCAAACCAATCATTTTCCAGAAACCGTCATCCCAACCTCCATCTGACGTGTACGTCCACTTGCACACTACTGTACAGAGGGACCTAGAAAAGAGACAATATAGGCACGGAATCAGGCAAATGAACACATTCGGTTTTAAACTTGTGACTAAAAAGACGTTTGTGCAAAATGATCTCTTCATTCACTGGTCAAAAATTCCAAGCATAATGCTAACAATAAAAAAATTGGTTACTGTTTGGAGTGCACGTCTTGACATACCTTAACAGGACCTTATGTTTACGATTCTTCTCTGCTGAAACAACTTGTCTGGCCACTTCATTGCATAAATCAGTCAAAAAACAGGCCATGCATATGCCTAGAAGACAGCATGGCATGAACACAACAGCTCTTTAGCAAGCAGCTCAGAGAAAGATTCCTGCTTTTCCAGGCTGTACCTAAATAGCAATGTTTTGGACACAATATGTCCTTAGAAAAAACTTTCTATTACTTATTTTGAAGCTCAATTACAATTTACAGGAGATTATGCATGCACTGATAATTAGGTTAAACGGCACTGCTTCAGTAGCTGCAGGTACAGAATGCCTTTATCAGGTGAATGTGTACAAGCAAAATCACATCCAACCACCAGAACTTCTGCACAGCATGTGTTCAAGTACCACTATCATTAGGTCTGTATTTCAGCAGAAGCCGATGACAATTCAGTAACATGCTGAAACAGCATTAGCCATGATGCAGCTGAGTGCAGTATTAAGTTCTTGTTTCAAGTCTTATTCCTGATAAGCTGACGCTGAACTTCACTGTGACAGTACAGCATCACAAGGGCAGACTACAGGAGCAGAATATAAACAAAAAGACAAGAGAACTTGCAGAAATGTCTATCATAGCATATAGAATGTTTTTCTCCTACAATGATCCATATCTCTGACCTCTCATTTCCCCCAAAATACGAATAACGTTCCTGAAGATTTAGTATTACACAGACTGTTTTCTGTCTGAACACTAAGAACCACCTCAGAAGATCAGTATTTAATTGTGCTTGAAAAGTCAGTAAAGTAAAAGGTATTAAAAATGCTAAATACTACTGAAAATTTCAGCTGCCTGTAGTCTTGGGAATGGTACCATACCATCAAGTGCGTGACATCTCAGATGCATCTCAGGGAAACATCGTAACTGTTCTTAAAGAGAAACCCCTTTCAGAGATGGATTTTCTTTGATGTCTTACAAGACAGCTTATTTGTGACTCATTTTTAGCCAAGGTGTGCTTTCACAGACATACTCTTTTTATCAGGATGTTACAATTTAAACATGCATCTTCAAAGCAAACTAAATTTTACTGAAGCATTTGACTTTTTATTGCAGTTTTGCATAAGTAAAATCCAAACAAAATTCCTGTCTACAAAAAATATTTTTTGAGTTAAACCCTCCTTTTCATCCAAGTGAACTACCTAGGGACCTAAATAAGGAGAATTAAACTAAAAGTCTTATTATTATATTACATATTACTTACATTACCATAATGCCAAGGAAAACCAGCTCTGGATATGATCCCACTGCCTACAGCAAGGTACAATTACCGAACAAAGAAGGAAGACTGCTGCCTTCAGGAAAAAAATAAGACAGCAACACAGCTGATAGTCAGGTACAGTGAGGTGTCCCAAAGTATGTCACACATATCAGCACCTATAACCTGTACCTATAAAACACAATCAAACCCAACTAGATACTCAAAATACTAAGTATTCAGCCAAAAGGAGAGATGAAACTTCACATAAAATACTTGCTATTAGTACAAATCCCATCGCACTTTTCCTATCTAGGCAAAGCAGAGCTTCTTATTTTACAGTTGTAGCAAAAAGCATACAGTAAATAATAAAGGATCTGGTCTTTTTGAAAAAGAGGCCACTAAGGCAATGGATTCTGCTACTTTCAAGCTTGACAAACATCCTTGTCATAGTTTCCCATTCATTTATCTAGAAATACCCCACAAACAAAGCAACAGTGAGTGCCTCTCCTCCATTAAAACATAGTAACAGAAACTAGCAAAGAAATCAGCAAACAGAACAGAAAAAGAGAAGCTATTTTTATTTACTATCTACAAATCAAAGCTAAGGCTTCTAGACAGTAATACTGTACACACAATAAAGCCAAATAAGAACAGGAAGAGCCTTTCCACACAGCTGGAAAACTATCTGAAACTCAGATTCACCATGTTTTGGGGGTTTACAAGAAGAACCACGGATGTACAAGTTCTCACGGGGTGGGACAGCTAAAGGCACTGTTCTCAGTGTACATCCCCTTATGTGACACTGAGCAGAAGATGGGGTGATTACATGGACTCCCCGTGCTCCCATTTTCTCATTGAGGACAGAAATGTATATTTTAAATGCATCATGTTTCATTTCATTCTGTTCTTTTGGAGTGACCATGTTTTTACAACCAGAGGACTGGTGATGTTCATTCACAATCCCACTGTTTATAGAGGTGCATTATTTGCTCTTTGCAACCAGAGAATTTATTAACATTACACATTTTGGGAAAGAAAAGAAATAGAGATAACTATTTATATCCTTATAAATACTGTGGAGATTATTTCAGGGTTACTCTTCAGACAGTTTTGACACCCACCCCCCTCCTTTTTTTTTTTCTTAAACAGTTTAAGAATAGATCAGACAATTACAATTCAGTGTCTGGTTTGAAAACAGAAAAGCACATGACCCGTAACTACAGCAATGACAATGTTGATATAAGAAATTCCAATTTCCAAGGATTTAAAAGCCAGACACAGAAATCTAATTAGGATCTTTGACAAAAACTGGGTGAATAAATAAATTCTAAGCTGAAGAAAATACTGAGAAAAAATAAACATTTTCCCCAAATCAGCTCAAACCTCTCATTAAAAGGAAAAATAAAGACAGGGTATTTGAAATAAAGATCATTTCATCACTTTAGGAAAAATTTAGACATAAAGAGTGAAACAATAATGCATCAAGTTTTCCCAAATATGGTAAATACCAAATTGTAACAAATTATCATCAGAACTGAACATGTATTTTTCTAATTAGATCAATGCTATGAACTATTGCCACACCCTGAAAAATGCTCTAAGGATGAGAGCTAAATGCCATGGCTCCTCATTTTCAAAGATCACAAAGCAACTCCTTCTGAGGCTCCATGCTTATCCAAAGAGAAACCGGAGCAGCCTTGTTGGACTCCAAAAAGCATGTTTTAAACAGGGGCCAATTCCTCCATACAGCTCACTCTGAGCAACATCACATTACACATATAGGCCCACTGAAACAGTGTGAATGGGGACAGACCGGCCCTTGCCAATCCACTGAATTCCAGAATATTGGAGCTCTTTTACTGGATATGGCAGGACTGAACATACTCTAGTATGAAACAGTAATGGGGCTGTGAGCATTTTCACCATTTATAAATGCAAACTGCTTACAGAAAAAGGATAAATAGCTGATTTCTGGTTGAATTTTTAATACAATATAGAAAACATGAACTGGGAAGGACACCTTTTCCCAAATGAATTAACGGGCAGATCTGTAATTGGAAGGTTCTGATATGAAGACCAACCTCAAATCTGAGCTAAAACACTAACCTGTTCTGTTGGTAGGTTTTATTTTCATGGCCACAAGAACCTCAAAACACTTGTTGTAAATGCAGTCTGAGCATTTACACTTCTCTGGATTTAAGCTCCTTATTCCACCCTTGCCACTACTTAATTGCCATGTAAAAAGGACATGTTTAATTGAACAATATAGCTTTATATAAATCCTTAATATCTAAGAGAAAGTATTATACTGCAGAATGACATTCTGGTCTCTTAGATAACAGTTCAAGAAAGAAGGATTTCTTTGAGATGCCCATGACGACAGATTAGCTTCACTACATGGTTCAAAAGAAGCTGGATGCGTTGAACTCAAATCCCTGCCACTTACCTGATGAGCTGCTCTAATAATTACGCACAGCTGCTCAATTTGTACACCCTAGAGAGCTGTAGGCACATGCAGAGAGAGCAGTTTGTTCGTGGTTTTTCACCTTTGAATACCAATGGTACAGATACATATTAGCTTTATGGGCAATCGCTCAGAAGTTCTCCTCCAGAGTATCACCCTAAGAAAGTGATAGCACTACTTGTAACTTGGAAAAACTGTAGCCAGAAAGACATTACGGTAAAGATGAAGCCAAGGAATCAAATCATTACCCCTACAAAGCAAGCCTCAACTATTAGAAAACTTTCTATTTCACAGTAACTCTTAAATTTTATGACATGAAGGGCAGACATTAAACAGAAACAGTACTGATATTCACTGTGGTATATTCCCTTTTTCCTAACTATTTGGCAGTATTGCCTCAATTATTTGGCCATAAACACCAGACTTGCACTAGCTGAAGCTGGATGAACCAGATGGATAGAAGCAAATGTTCCCCTTACTTCACTACCAGGATCAACTGGGTTCAAAGGTGCTGAGTTAATAGGCAATCATCTAGGCAACAGTCCTCTCCCAACTGCCTAATCTAATGCAGGAGTTGAAAAGACATGGTGCACAGGCCATATGTAGCTAGGCTGAAATACCATGAATTTGAAGACTGTTTTCCTCAAGCATATTCCCAATACAATGAAATGCAAGATTTCCTTTCCCTGTTCAGAACAAAAAGTTTTGCTTAGAATACTCCTACTGAAAAAAACAACCCTTTTGCATGGAAAACTTTTATTTTATTTAAACCAGATTTTCAACAGGAACATGATTATGTTCAGAGTTTCTTACAAATTCTAGTTTACAAAGAACTATAGGATCCTACTTGCATCCAACAGCCTTAAGAAAAAAAAATCCCTGCCACATTCATTACTAAGTGGATTTGGTTGGGCACAGCATATTACACAATACTTTCTATTACTGTCTAGCTCTGCATTTTTGCACATCTTTTGCTGAGGACTGACTGCAGATGTGCTGAAGTCCTGTATGACCAGAATCTCAGCATTCTGAAAAACCCACCAGCAGTACGGCCTCATAAGAAAACCATGAGGTTCAGGGAGTCTGGTAGTGATTGAACACACACTGATAATTCC